ATCAAATAAAATAGTTCTGCAACAATTAAATTATTGAATTCATTACATGAAAATTATTTTATTATTACTGTAAAAATTAAAAATTATTGTTATGATTGAATTGTTGTATTTCAAATGTGTCAAATAAATATTTGATTCAATTGTTTGATGTTTGATGGTTACATAAACAAGCAAATAAGTGTACATATAATAAATGCAGCTACAATAAATACACATGCGACAAATGCGCACACAATTAATAAACAGATACACATACACACACACATACATACAATCATATATATGTGTAATGAAAATTAATCAATATTCAAAAATTTTAAAACATTTTTATTACTTTTGTTTTTTTTAAAAAAATTGCCACAATGAAATTCTAATTTTTCAACGCATTCTTAACATTAATACAAAAATTAATACAAAAAAATTTTAGGGTTAAAGGTCATACATATAAAAGGTTAACAATTTCAGGCAAATCAATTCAAATTGGATACATTTCGATTATTTGATGCATTGGATAAGAATTTACAAGAAAATTTATTAGCAGCAATTCCAAACGATGCTGATCATACACCAAAACCACAAAGATTTCAAGATTTTCTTAAGGTATGCATGAATTATGCGAAATAAATTAAATTATTAATTTAATTAATAAAAATTTGTTAAATTTAATTAAAATTGTTAATTTAATTAAGATTTTTATTGACTTAGTTAATTCAATTTTTGTGAATTCAGTTAAAATTTTTCAAAATTTAAATGTATCAGTTATAATTTTCTTAAATTTTTAACAGTATTACTTAAGATTTTTTTTTTAAATTCTACATTGATGTAATAAGACAAAAAAAAATATTAATAGTAATTTTTTTAATTCAATTATATATTTAAATTTGTTCACAATTTTCTGATAAATTTACTTTCGGTAATACTATTTCAAATTATTACAATTTTTTATTGCATAAAATCAGATGAATATTTGATCATTTATAATATGTATGCATAATTAATTAAAATTTAATTAAATTAAAATTCTTTATTAATTTTCATTATTATTTTAAGTATTTATGTAAAAGAATAATTTATTAAAAATTTTTAGGTTATGCAAATATCAAATCAATTGAATACGAAATTACCGCCATCCTTAATTTCTTCAACCGGAAAAGTTGCAGTTGAATCTGATATATCACAAATTCATCCTGCAATAATGCAAAATTTGTCAACAATGTTGCAATCAAAATTACAATCACAAATTGCACAACAAACATTATCACAACGACAACAATTGCTATTGTCAAATTCGATTGTAAGATTTTCCATAAAAAATTAATTATTTATTCATTTGATATCACTGATAATAGAAGTACAAATGTTAGCTTATCAATAATTAAGCAAGAATTTCTTGATAAATTTTTAAATCATTGTGAGTAATGCTTGATATTACTGGTAATAAATGAGAAATGCGAATTTATCAGTTAAGTTTATCAAAATTCCCTTAATAAAATTTTTAAAGTACTACACTTCTGATAAGATTACTCGTTGATATTGTTCAATAATAGATAAGAAAAGTGTTAATTTATTAATGATCAAATGACAATTTTCCTGGTAAATTTGTAAAATATTTCTGTGTGATAGCAAACAATTAGCAATGATTATTATTTAATTAATAATTTTCTTTTTTTTTTTTGTTTGTAATTAATAATATATACTAAAAATTATGATTAATAATAATTAATAAAATACACTTTTTTTTTTTAATTAATGATATATACCAAAAATTTTTTTGACAGTATTTTTGACCTTCTTCTTAATTCAGTCATCAAAATTATCACAAGCAGATCAAAGAGGCATAGCTCAACAGCGACGAATTATTCAACTTTTATCAAATAATCAAAATTCTCATCGGTATATTTTATTCACTTTATATTTTTTTATCACTACTATTTTTTATTTAATTATTTAATTAAATATGTATGATAAGTAAATAATAAATTTATGGTTATCAAAAATAATTTTAGGAAAGTACCAATATCACAACAACAACAACAACAACAATTTCCATCACTGCGACAAGCAATAAATTTTCAACGAAATATCTCCAGAAATTTGATTAAATCAGAAGGCATTTCAATGACAACAAATGGTAAATTATTTTTTAATTATTATCAAGCAGTTATCACTGCATATATCAGTAATCATTTATCAGCTATTTATCACATATCACTTCAGATTAATATAATATTATTGTAAAAAATTTTCTACTTAACAATATCTTGAAACTTTTTGTAAGTTATTAAATTAAAATTAAATTAAAGCAGCTTTTCTGATTACAATATAATATTATTTATTTGAACTGCTATAATCAATAAATTAATCTGATTAAGAAATCACTTAAAAATGAAAATAAGAATTGATTTTCCTTTTTTTTTCATATGATTTTCGAATAATTTATGCTACCTTTATCATAGTTTACATTTTAATTTATAATACATTAATGGATGATACATAATTATATCATTTATTAATATAATTAATTATTTAATATAGTTAATTAAATTATATTTGATAATGTAATCAGTTTCTGATTTCTTTTTTTTTTTTTTGATTTTGAAAATTTGATCATAAAATTAATTAATTTATTGTTTTTAGTTTGCATCGATTTTGATCCATTCGAATTATGCATGCGACGACGAGCATTTTGTCGCATATCACGACGCATGAGACTGAGATGTCGCAAAGTGTGTCATTTTTGCGAATAATTTATTCATTTCATCTATGCTTCTCGTTATTTCGATCTCATTTGTTTAAATTTAAATTACACTTAAATTTAATAAGTTATGAAAGAAAAATTAAATAAAATTAAAAATTAAATAAAAAAATTAAAAAAAATTTGATAAAATTTAATCATACAAAATAAAATATTTGCAATCAAATTGTTGGATTGGTAAATTGAATTATATTGAAACTAAATGTTTGTAATTTAATAATATGTTTTTGAATATAGGTACATTTTTATTTATTATTCTTAACATTTTTTAAATAATTGTTTTTTTTTTGAAAAAAAAGGAAAAAAGAAAATTAATGGAAGAATTATTTAATGTTTACTTCGACAAAGAGTCGAAAAACTTTTGTCATTAAGTTGTTAAAATTAAATTATACTAAAATTTAAGAGTAATTTTTAATATTTCGCTGTTTATTCTATAGTAATTCACATTTATTTTCATTAATTATCACTGTCATTTTTTATTAACAATTAAAAGTAAATAAGTACTTTTAAGAAGAAGAAAAAAAGTGAATGAAAAAAGTTAAACATCTAATTAGCATATTAATAGTATAAATTTTTGTATCTCATCTAATTACTGCCTTATTAATATGTAAATTTTTATGTATTACATAATAATGCAAAATATACTTAAAAAAAAAAAAAAAAAATATATGCATCATATAAAAATATGTGTGATATATTTTTTTTGGTTTAAATTAATTAATTCAAAAATAAATGAAATGTCAAATGGAATAAAATAAAACAGTTATAATTTTCGTTTTTTTTTTTTTTTTTTTTTTTTACAAAATAGAAATAATTTTTTATATTAAATTAACTTGATAGGATGGAAATGAGAAAAGTTAATTCTTTGCTTTATTAAATTATCGATTTATTAAAAAATATGCCAGCAAGATTCTATCAAATATAACATCGATTTTTGATCTATGATATGAATATCAATTACAGGAATTGATATTATAGGTAAGAAAAGAATGAAAATAATTATAAAGTGCCTCTTCTCACTTTTTATCAGTCATGGTGACAGCTTGAATTTATGATTTAATCTTTGACAATTAAAATTAGCAACTGAATGCTATTCGCAACAAATTGAATTTTAAACTTATAATTTAATTTTTGACAATTTGAACAACTTGATTTTTGTGAGTTGACACCTTCCAAATTATCAAAATTCAATTGATAACATAATTGCACAAATGATTCTCATACTATTTTGAATTCCGGAAATACTCATTTTAGATTGTCGCTGCGGTAATTAATTATGTTTTTTTTTTCTTTTTTTTTGGAAAATAACTGCTAACACTTTCCTACTGGACAAGTTCGAAAATGATTAGTAAATTAATATCTGAACAATTGGAATTATGTTGCAAAAAATCATGCTTTCTCAGTGACATGTGAAACATGCATGCAATTTACTTAAGTGATTTAAGTAAATTTAAATAAGGTTAAGTAAAGAGCATACGGGAATATAGAAGATAAAGATTTTAGCACAAATAAATTATCTAATCTGTAACTGAAACAATTGTAATTTAGGAATAAATAATAAAATGAAAATATTCCTTTTTTTGTAATAAAAAATAAGAGAAACAGAATAAAATAAGCAACACTAATTAATGCTTTAAGTGCAAAAATGATGTCATCTGAGGTATTCAAACTGAAATGGAATTTATATTTTACCAGTATTTAAATGCAAATTAACAAAATGATATTTTAGGAGAAAAGTGTGTAAAAGTGAGATAAATTTCAAAATTAATAAAAATATTACGGCACATACGTTAAGAATGATACTGAATACCATGAATTATATAGATCATATAAAAAATAGGAATACTTAAGTGAATTCTCAAACCTGCATTATTTGATTACAAAAGATTGATATCAGTTTTGAATAAAAATAATCAATAATGGAGTTAAGAGATTCCAAGCATTTTAAGCAATCAGTCGAGTTCAATTCGAAAAAAATAAAAATAAAGATATAAACATTTGCAGGACTATTCATAAACTAAATGCTTACAAACCTTTATATCATAATATCACAAATTCGTGCTTAAGAGAAATAGAACTGATATAAGACATACAAGAAAAAAAAAGAAAAAAAAAAAGACACAAAAGCCCAAATTTAGTAGTGAAAAAAGAAGGAGAAAAAGAAGTTAAGTAGACTAATATAAGATAATGAAAATAATGCAAAGTAGATATTAATGATTTTCCTTGCAAACAAACATCAATCATTTTAATAATCTTTTTTTGTCTCATTAATTTGTCTTTGTCGATTCTTAAATTCTTCTCCTGCTTCTTCACTAATTTTTGCAAATTTATCCATCATTTTAGCACGAACTGTATCTGTCAATGCAGGGACATCCTGAATTGTCATCTAAAATATGAATAAATTATAATTATGCATATATAAATATAATTATGATCTTAAAAACATATATATAATATAATCATTTCTATTTCATACAAATACAAAAAATCTACAACATACACCGGTAGTCTGTATCGGATCCATAATTTCCACAATAACGTAGCCTGAATCTGCGAAATATCGCATATTCTTATTATAGAACTGCTTGTAAGAAGATATAACTATCGGAATAATTGGTATTTGAGCCTGAAAAGTCAATAAATTAATTTATAAAGTCTGATAACTTTTACCTCATAATTATAAAATAATCATTTGCTTATATCAAAAAAAAGCTAATCTTACTATTGCAGCATAAGCTATTGAGAATATGTCATAGAGAATTACAATCTAACACGAACAAATCTTTAATTCATAGCAACAAGCAATCAATATATAGATCATTTAAAATATAAATACGTGTTATTTCAACTAATAATGTAATTAAACAACATAAATAGTTAAACACTGATATGTTTTATGAATTATCGAAGACTTCAATGATTTCTTTTACACACAAATGAAAAACTTACAAAAACTGCTAAATTAAAAGCGCCTTTTTTGAATTCAATCATTCCATCACCATGATTTCTAGTGCCTTCTGGAAAGATGAAAACACTTAGCTTCTGCTCAGTAATCTTCTTTGAGCATTCTTCCAACGATTGAACGGCTCTTTCTCGATTGAACCGATCCACAAATACTGCTCGGCTCTTAATTTTTTTTCTTTTTTTTTTTATGCACTACATTTGAACATTATACTTTCCTTAAAAACAAAATTGAAAAAAAGAATAAATAAATAAATAAACAACTACACAAAACAATTATTTATTTACCCATAATCAAAACCAAATCATATCAGTGCAATCATATCATTCACAAATTATTTTTTTTTCAAGTCACTTTTAAGATGAATCTTTAAAAAGTCATCAATTAAATCAGAACAGAAATAATCATAAATACATAATAACCTTATAATAATCATTACTGTTTATATTTCTCTTAATTTTTCATTAGCAACTTACGAGTAATGATGCAAAATTGAAAAATGGTACGTATTTCAATGACTTTTTCATCATCACTGTACATTTTGATGGCCAAAAATGCGATAGCACAACAATATCGACCGAACTCTGGAAATTATATTTGATTATTAATAAATATTCATATACATATAAAATTACCTCTAAAATTGTTGGGATGAAATTTCTGCATAATATCTGAAAGTTACATCATATAAACGCATATGCTCTAAATGTTTGTTTGCTTATTTTCTCTTTCTTTCATAGAGTTTGCTTATTTTCTTTCTTTGTTTGTATTTGATTTCCTCTTTTTTCTTTTATACAACAGAAATTGAGGATAAAAGCTAGATTAGCTTTCATAAATATAGTTTATAAAAAGGAAAAAAATTAGAAAAAAAATAGAGCTTTTATAAATACAGACTGATTAAAAACAAGAATTAATTGTGCATGCAACATAAAACAAACGTACAAGCATACGAGACTAACACTATGTAAACAAATGTCCCATAAAATAAAATATCTACCATTAAAATTTGACGAATATTGTTGCCAACTGAGTTTTCCAATAAAAGCGCTTCTTTTTAACGTCTTACTCATTCTTTGCAAAGGAAAAAAGAAAAAGAAAGCAATAGAAAATGTCATAATGCAGTATAGCGATATGAATGACACTTATCATCTCTATCAGTATATCATTCTATTAAGCAATATTCGCAAATAATAGAATAGAAGCTATTACTAGAGCATTTTGTAATAATTAACTAACGAAATATCATAAATAAAAGTACCTGATGATTACATACAAATATAAATGGTCCTGGTTTCTGTAAGATTTCACCATTTCGTACGATAACTTTGATATTTGTCCACCTTGACAGAACGTTAAAAGAATCAAAAACAAATTTTGGCACCTATAAATAGATTTAAAAAATCCTAAAATATGTTAAAAACAAAATTTTGGAATATTATTTAATAAGCGTAAATACGCCAACTTTAAATATTCATCTTCTTTAAAAGCGAGAGAGATTTTTTCAAAAAGAAAAAAATTTTTTTTTTTTAGAAAAATACACTTACATCACCAAAGAAGTATAACGGCCAGGCAAAACAAACGATCACAGCATTAAGCAATATGGCACAATAAATACCAACCACTTTAATAAAATATAGACATTTCAAATTTAGTGATAAAAGATATAACAAAATAGCAAACACTGACAGAATAGTTAATAGTTGACAGATGATACACGATGCAGAAGATTCTAGCTCTTTCATTGATAATCTGATAATCCACTTTTTTCTTTTTCCAAATGCAACAAAATATAAATAAAGAAAGATAAAGTAACCTGAAAGTTAATAAAAGTAATAAATCAAATTATCGGAAAAATTTTTAAAAAAAAATTTAATTTATCATGAATAGTTACACTTTGGATAATGTCATGTATGATGACAAATTCTCTCCATTGAAATGAAAATAATGTATTATTATTAAAGAGAGAAATCATTGTTAGCTTGACCGAAAAAAAAAAAAAAAACCACAGTATATACAGTAGATAATTTATGAAAAAGTAGTGATAAATTTATTTTTATTAAAGGAAAAAAGAGCCAAGAAATTCAGAAAATCAGTGTAAAAGGTCAGAAAATCCAGCAAATCAATGTAATCAAATAATGAATTAACTGATTCGACTAAATCTATCCATTTGATAGTGTATCAGTGAATTCATTTAATTTTAAAAGTTAGTTATTAAGTCTTCAGCATTCTGCAATTGCTCTGAATAGCAGTAAATATTGAGTGAAGGAGTTTCAAAAATTAGATATAATAGTCTTTGCTACTTGAACCACTTTCCACTGTGTGATAAGAAGACATAACTGTACTTACAAATTTTATTTAAAATAATGAAAGAATTAACAAAAGAATGTTATTAATGAATATAATAATGTACATATATGTCACCTTATTGTGTTACTCATTTTATAAAAACAAAAATGTATACTCATTAGGAACAAAAGAAGTGAAAAAGAAAAATAAATTACAGCAATAATTTATTGATGAAAATAAAGTCAAGCAGTTTCCGATGGAATACAGTGTACTTATCATTTAATAAAATAGCGAGAAAGTTCCACATTTTATTCCTAAATTTTTAATGAAATATTGAACTTCAATCTCTTTAGTGTCCAAGTAGTAAGTTGGTTTTAACTAAAACATACTAAAAAGCTAAAAACAGTTAGCTTTCTGAAGGTTTAAAACTTGAACTTTGTTTTCAATCATCCTTTTCTCATTCATGAATAATTTATTTTTTCTTATAGCCAAAATTCCAACTTGTAGTATCAAAACCTTAATTATAATAAAAATAAAAAATAAGAAAAAATGCACAGTTTAATTGTAGAATAAACTATCACTACCACAAAATTAAAAACATCAACTAATTCAGAAGACAGGAAGACATTTGCTATTACTACAAACAAATCATAACATTGAAAAATCATATTAAACACAACTCTACTCTCTATTTAATCATAATAATAACTAAGTTTTAAAAGCATTTAGAAAGCATAAAAAATACATTGGAACTAATGAACCAACGAACGAAAGAAATGCATTCTAGAAATATGATCGAAAGCAAAGTAATTAAAAATTTACTGCAACAATGAATTTTGATATTTTCGAAGAATCGAAAATTTTGCATAAAATCTTGCTAAATACTTTCAAACAACAGCGTCTCATGATCAATGCTATTGCAAAAACATATAATTTAATATGATTTTTAAAACTGCTTCGCTCTCACCAAAAAATCAACAAATTCGATAACTCGTACATGAAAAAAAAAAAAAAAAAAAAAAAAAAGACTAAGGCATTTTCAATAAAGCTTCGTAATCCACTTCACCACTTGGCAACATAGGTAACTGTCCTTTATTTACTGCTTCACTGAATCCTATACCCGACAAAGCATACTGAGCTAAATCCATTTTGCCAGGTGTGTAGCTGGTTACAGAACTGTAACAACATTAAGAAGTTTATTGAAAGTCAAATGTATTCAATCAAATGTATGTTACGCTTTCTTCCATTTAAGGTAAAAAGAACTTAAAAAACTACGAATATTTATTTATTCATCAGTCTTATAATAAAATTTTATGATAAAAAATAGCTTTATGATTAAAAAACTAATAAAATTTTATTGAAAAAAGATGAAACAAACCTGGTCAACCACCATATCAGAAATGGTTGTGTGAATGCTATAAATAGCATTAAATATATTTTACGCTTTTTTCCACCGTATTCATTATATGTATTTTGTACATCCATTAAAAATGTCTTCACTGTTCGTAGCTTAAATAAAAATAAATCTAAAAAAAGTGTAAAAAAAAAAAAAAAAAACAGAAAATCCAAAAAAGAAAGAAGCTTGACAATCCTAATAAGAATCTAAGTAATCATTTTAAAAACTACTCTCACTCTTATTTAAGCTTATTCTTGATTTGAATGAATTGAAATGATCTTTTCACTGAGCTGGTTTCTATCACACATCATTTTCAAATAAAAACTGTGATAAATAAAAGCATAAAAAAATGGAGCAACAAATAATTATTCACATTTTTGCATTAAAAAACTGCACATGAAGGAGACTAATAATAGGGTATTAAGCATTTTAAACCGGAAAGGGGAACAAATTCCATTCATAACAATAAATACATGAAACATACCAAAAAGAAAACAATTGAAAAGGATATATAGGCTAAAACCCAATAATAGAATGATTTACCACCTAATACAAAGACCAGTAAGCATACATTCATCCTAAAAAAAATATAATATCAGCAGGTATGAAAATTTAGCGATAATTATGGTTTTAAATAAATACCGCAATTCTAAAGAGCAATAGGTTTGATAAATCAATCAGATTTGATTAGTTCAATTACTTGATTTAGTAGTATATTTAATAGACTAATAGTTTATCCATCTCGTTATAAATTTTCAAAAATCTTACCCAACAAATTTATAGCTACTATATGCAAGTGAGTGCCAGAAGGTGAGCGATTCCGATATGTTCATTATATACCTCGTTATAATTATTATCAAATTTTCGAAAATAAGATATGCTAATGCATTTGTTGTGATGATGCCCAACTGCTCGGGTGTAAATCTTAAAAAAAGAAAGTATTAAACAGATGCTTTTAGACCAAAATAAACATTGCAATTAATTAATTAATTAATTTGATTTGCCTTTTTTGTATTCCTAGTACAAATCCAGAGATAAGAATATAAGTTACGAAAGCCATTAGCGGAATATATAAGTCGGGTGCATTGACATCCAATCGCGGTGGTAGTGGTGAATCCGAAGAATCATACTTGGCAGTCCATTCCTAAAATTATAAGCTAAATTTTACAGCATATTAAAAGAAAGTAGATTTAACTTACCCCGAAATGCAGAAACTTACTCGATGTAAAAAAGGGAACAGCATAAGACCCAATTTCTTGCCAACATATGTATTGTCCACAGCAAAATAATATTTCAGATGGAATGCAGACAAATATTTAGTCAACTGAAATTAGTTGTAAAATAGTTAGCTTCGGCCAGAAAACTTTTTCCTAAAAACTTTTTTTGAAGTCTATTCCACTTTGATTTCAGGTATAATAATGTTAAGTATAAATATTTATTGCTCCAACAAAAATATTTGTCCGAGATTAATTACTGTAGGTTATATATATATATGTATTGGGTTATTGGATTAATAAAAAACATACCTTTTCTTTCTGTTGTACAGCGAACTGACCACCAATTTGTTTTGCAGCATTTAGCATTGGCTCTGACATAAATTGATCAGAAAATGATGACAAATTTCCAACACCATACGAATCTGAAAACATATTTAGCATATAAAAGCTGGAGAATATTTGCACATGTAGTAAATATTAAAACGTCTAATACTCCAAAATTCATATCAAATCATTATTTCTAATTTGGAAATGAAAAGGAAAATAGAAAGATGCAAATCATTCAAGTCTCGAAATAAATAATTTAATTTCAAATTATTCATTTGAAATTCGACGGATAAGATAAACAATTATAACGAGGGCTAACTCTGCGATGGCATTCCGAATGACTGCATTTGATTTGTTTGGGAATAATTAGCTGTCATTGGTACTGAAGGAATGGTTGCTTGTTGGTTATAATAGTTATTATAGACTTTATCAGATGGCATTGCTCCTGTAGGCCGACTGCTAAAAATGTTGATACTGCAGAAAAAAATTTGAAAAACTCTAAATATTGAATTCCATTTCCAAGAAAATTCAAACAAGCATATCCAGCTCGGTTGCCTTGAAAAAATAAATACATAAAAAGAAAGATTAAAGACACATTCTATTGCCCTACAATATTATATAAATATTATACATAAAGTAAAAATTTTATCTCACAAAATTATTGATCCCAAAATACCAGAAAAATGAACCACAAATTGGAAAAATTAACTCATTAAAAATAAACAAATAGAAAAGTGAATTAGCAACGAATTTTAAACTTCTAACTCAGCTTAATAAGGAGCCAAGTATAAATAAAACCTGTAAGTTCCCTGATTACTCCATGGTTGTTGCCTTTGCTGCCAATGCTGATTAGCATTGTAGCCGGTATTATAATTGCTATCATCATTCCAACCCCAACTTGGATCTGTCATTGTACAACTGGCCTAAAAATTTGTAAAACATAATGAACTGTATAACCATGATATAGGTTAAGAAACGATCCGTTAAAAGGATGCTAATAACATATTGTATCATTATGAGATCATTATCATTATAACCATTTGACGCTTCCATACGCTTGTGTCAGGTCAGGCGCCAGAAGATTTCTGACTATAAATTAAAATTAAGCTCCAGCTGCGTTTTGCTTACGGACAAAATAAAATTAAATTTCAAAAAAAAAAAAACAAAAATCTTCGAGAATTCCCTTCTTATTTCCCTCTTTTTGAATTAAAAAAGAAAAAAAAAAAAGAACACTGACTAAGAAATTAAGTTTCCAGAAGAATTTAATTATTTATATCTCATAAACACAACGACTAATCACCCCCTAAAGAGCATACTGATAAATATATCACCATGAGATCATTTATCATTACCAAATCATATAACACTTCCATACGTTTGTATTACATACAACATTTTTATGTCACATTAGCTAAAAGATTTCTAGCTAAGAAGTTGTTTCAGTTCAAATATTTTTTAACCTTTATTTGTCGAATTAGTGCTTCAGTTTTAGGTCTAGAAACGTCGTCCGCATTTCAGGAATGGAAATGTCATTTCAACTTAAAAAAATAATACTTCAAAGCTTCAATTACCAGAAAAAAATCCCCACAAATCTCAACAACGACTAATTCCACGCGTCCAAAAACAAAAAAAATGCGGTCTTTGCATCTTTGCCGGACACTGAATGCAACACCTTATTCCATCTCAATTTAATCATTTCGTCCTTTCATAAAAGCAATTCCATTTCATTCAAATTATGCACATTTTAACGAAATAAGAATGATTTTTTATTTAAATTTGAGGAAAAAAAAAATTGTCTGTGACTATAACATATTATTAAATATTATATTTTATTATTAAATATTGTATTTTACTATTAAATGTTATATTCTATCAACTAGAAAACTTTCATATACCATAAAATTTCCTCTTTTCTGTTGTACTGTAATATCAGTAGTGGTAAATAATACATTTAATAGAATAAGTTAATTTCTTAGTTATTTTTTAATAAACAGTAATAATGTAATCAAATTTAAAAAAAAAAAAAAAAAGTAACAATAATAATGATATTTTTGTTGCACAAAAAATAATAAAATTTCAGAAAAGAAAAACAACAAAAAAGAAAAAATACGTCCATTTTTCCTTGTCTTTCCGTCATTATTATTTTTTTTTTTTTTTAAAGTTAATATAATATTTTTGTTTTTTTGTTTTTCATTGTTTGTTATAAAACTATCTTTTTATATTTTTATTTTCTTTGGCAAATAATTTTTGATACTGTAACATTTACATATAGTAATCATAAACATACTGCAATATTTTAGGATCATTTATCAAAGTACAAAAATCAATTCAGTTTTGAAAAAAGGAAAAGAAAGCTTTTTTTTTTTTTTTGTTCATCTTTCTTCACTTTCCTACTTCTCTCTCTCTCTTTCTCTCTTTCTTTTTCCCTCTCTTTTTTTTTTTTTTTTTTTTTTTTTTTTTTTTTGTTATTCTATTGATAAATTTAATGATAGAAATCAAAAAACGAAAGGATTGTTATGAAACTTTTTGGGAAAAATACAAATTTTATGGTTACAACAAAAAAAAAAAAAAAGAGAAAACAAAAATTATTTGTTTATGAATTGAATGATAAAACTATATGTCCAATATTTGTTATTTTCATATTCCAATAATATATTTCCATTGTTCATTTGCTTTGGTTTATTTTTTTTTAAATTTTTTTTTTTCTTCAATAATTATTATTTAAAAAAAATTAATTAATTAATTACTATCACATATTTATGCAATTTTTTTAACTTTTGCTTTTCTGAATAATTATATAAGTTTTTTATTTTTCTAATTATTTTTCTAAAATTATATTTTTCTAATTTTATTATCTTTACTACATTCACTCATTCATTGGACTTTTTTTTTAACAGTTTTAGAGAATTTGTAATGAAATATTTGAAGAAAATATTTTTAGCAAGAATTATTTAATCTCTGCCTTTTACCGTATACCATTAAATATTTTTCAATTATGAAAAAAATAAAAATATTTGAACTTTTTTTTTCAAATTAAAAAATAATCTTTTGTTTCACTAACTTTTAATTTCTCAATTGTCTATCTCTTATAATAACTTTTAAATAGTTGATTGAGTGAATTCAATGATTAAACGGGAATTGTTTACAGAATTTTTTTTTCCGCAAACAATTTTCATTATCAGTTGATAGGTTAACATAATATAAATGAGTTATGCTATCTTTGTGTTAATTTTTATCAATAATAAATAGTTTTAAAAATTTCTACATCATAAACCGGATATTTGAAAAGTCAGCCGGTTTACTTTTTGCTTCATTAATTAATTAATGATTTAAAACCATCTAATAGATTTATTTTATCTTTGCTTTGCTTTGATAATATCTCTAATATCATTTATTTAACTAAAAGATATAAGAAGAAAAAATTGATCAATCCTATTGCATTACTTTTATCACAAATTAATTATAATTTTTAAAATTTTTTATAAATTTATAAATTTATAAAGCATTTTTAATTATTTGAAATGTATTTATATCAGAGTTCCATTTTCATAACTGTATCGTATCATTCATTTATGCAAATTTCAATTTCAATCAATTAAATTATATATTTGCATGTTAAATTAATTTAATAGTTTCGAATTAGAATTGTAACGAGGAAAATTTTCCATCATTTTATAAGAATAAACAATGATTTATACAATTGTAAGCATTTTATTGAATACATTTCTTCGTCTACTTTTTTCCTTTTTCAAATTATTTCTTCTTCATCTCTGATCTCTTTACTGTTTTCCATTTTTTTTTTTTTTTTTTTTTAAATTTTACTTGAAGTAAACATAGCACTAAAAAAGCTATTGAAAAAAGCATCTACAAAAGGAATAATCTCATATATTTTATTCATTTGATCACATATAATGCAAATTTTGCTTTTGTAAAAATTTTTCCAATCTTTCATCAAAAAAAAAAAGCGAAAAAATAAATGAAAAAAATTTTGAAAAAGTGAAAAAAAAAAAAAAAACGATGCAAATGAAAAATTAATTTTTTATTTTTTTTTGATAATAAAATAATCAAAAATTAATTATTGATTAATGTAATTATTGATGTGAATAATTTAACAAAAATTTTAGGATGATTTAATGTGGTTAGATTTGATTTAGACGATGAAATTGCTTTCTGTAATATGATTAGTTATTCAGGTACTTATTCTATTAATTTAAATATACATTAAATAATTTCTTTATTAAATCGAATTTAATTTTAAATTTTTTTGTTGGCTTTAATTAGGTAATGACTATAATTTTAGGATTGTTAAATTAAAAATTGCAATTCTTCTTTTTTGTTTTTCTCTCATTAATTAGGAATAAATAATAGAAAATTTAATTGAATTCTGATAGGAAATGTTAAAATTCGAATAACAATAACAATTGAATAAAATGGTTTTCTCCTAAAAAAGAAAAAAAAAACTTTAAATTATTTAAAAGATTCTATTTTATTTTTTTTCTTATACAAATTAATTAAGTTTTATAAGGTTTAAACAAATTATTCAAATATTATATACATTTTTTTTCAGATAAAAAATTTTGCATTATCGAAGCGAAAATGAAAAAAAAAAAAAGCAAATGACACTAACCATTCTCACTGTAAGGTATGAAATTTTCGTAAAAATTTAATCGTCTTATTTATTCTATTTAATTTAATTAAAATTTAAAATTTAATTCAATTTTTTTTTTCACTAGTAGTATTCATTTTTTCTAAAATTATTTTATGAAACGAATTAAAATTCTAACTTTTTAATTTTTGGTACTGTTTTTTTTTTTTTTAATTTAATGCAATTTTTATTTTGCTAATATATTAGTGTACTGGAATTGAATCGTTGAAAATGAATTGAATTATAATATAGAAATGAATTAAAGAAGAAAAACGAAATATTAATTTTGTGTGATTTTTTTTTTCGTTAATTAGATTTACTGTTTTTATTGATTGAATAAAGTTTGATTTTCAAATTATTATATAAGTGTTTTATCTCATTGAATACATATGGAATATATATTTGCATGAAATTTTGGAATTGTAAAATTTTTAAAAATTTGGCAATTTGATAACATAATTTTTTCACTTTTCTGTTTAATTCAACTATTTATTCTTAAATTTAAATTTGTTTCTCTTCTCCAAAATTCTAAATTGATTTCTGGTATGCAAATTAGCATCTGAGAGGAAATTTTAAACTTATAAAAAAAAGTTACTTCTTTTTCATAAGCTAAAATTTTATGGAAAGTTAAAGTTTAAAAGAATAATCAATGCATAAAAAAGATTTAATCTATGGTGCAAAAAACAAAAAAAAAAGAAATAGTTTTACTGCTTAAATATGATTTTTTGAGGAAAATTTAAAATTTAAATTTTTTAAACCAATTAATTTATAATCGATTCCAATTGATTTAAAAACTTTTATTTTCTGGCATTTGTAATTCATACTGCGCGGTTATTTCAGTAGTTTGCATTATAAATGCATTATTGACAAATGCTTTTATATGCTTTGATGCATAATTTTGTATGTAACAAATAAATGAAAAAGTTAGTAATTGCAAAATTTTACATTTTTTTTTTAAATTTTATAAAATTTTTTTAATAGAAAAATTTGGCAATTTAACTTTTTTAAAAATGTTTTATTTCCAAGCAAAAAATGATGAAAATAATTGTTAATTTTGTAAAAATTTATTTTAACTTTTCTTTTGCAATTACTAACAATTTTTTTTTTTTTTTTTTTTTTTGCTTCTTCGTTCTTTTGTGCAATTTATAAAATACTTTTTTGTATTTCTTAGTTTATTCGTTTTAATCAATAAAAGTTATATTAAAAATACTATGATTTATTTTAAAAAAAAAAAAAAATTTCAGCTAATTAATCATTTATTTGAAA